TTACGCGATGCGCACAACTGCTTTGTTTTGCACTCTTCAATATTTTTCACTGTTTCACCTGTTTTCTTCAAGATTCCTTTGACAATTGACCAATATTCCATAATAGGACGTGGCTCTGGGCTATTAGGTGGAGTGCAGTCGTGAGGTACGAAATTGATGTTATTTGCATTATACCACGGCAATGTGTCCTTGGCATAGTGGCAGGTTGCCATGTCTGCCTAGAACAGTGGCCTTCTCCTTATCTGTTGGTAAATGACAGAATACGCCTTTTGAGGCACTCATCCCGATAAACTTGATCATTCATTGTCCCGGATGGGAAAAAAGGGCTGCTTTTACGGCCACAGGAACAAATAGCTTGCCAAACCATGTGTTTTTTTTTGGAAATTTGGACTTCATTTTCAGCTTACAACTTTCAGGGGCATCTTGACGACTTGCACCAGTATACAAATCTTGACCTGCAATATATTTTGAATTTTTATAGCAGTAGGTTTCGTAGTCCATAACAATGCAGTTGTATTTTTTAATTTAGAATTTATACAACTTCCGAATGCGCGATTTCGCTGTAACATTCTACTTTGCGCGACGGTCTGGCGCTGTTTGAGCTGTAGAACATCTCAATGAAGCTTTCCGCTTTACCTTTTGAACGAAAAACTGCGATCTCCGTGCGGATTTTGCAACATAACGCGACAAAATCTTCGGATCTCGCGAAAACGCACTGAGGACCTTCCGAGCACTGTTTTTATCACTTTGACCATGCTAACCCCCGCTCCCTGGTTTTCTCGTAACTGCCAGGCCTCATTTGTACCAATTAAAACCCTGCAAACTGTCGAATAGTGCAATCTTTAATTTTTTAGCAATTTTACGTGTACTTAAGGCCGGATCATTTATAAACTCGTGCAAAATGGTTTGTCTCGTTTCTAACTCGGTTGTCATTTTTAACTCAACTAGGAATCAAATTCAAATGAAATTTCTTCTACGTCCAACTAAGGTCATGGTCAGCTTATGGTATTTGAATTTCAAAATATTGAATTCGTTTTGGGTAAGTTATAAGCTTCCCAAAGTGTCGCAGTTTTGGTGTGTTCACCCTTTACTTAGCCGATCTATCTGCCATATTGTAATAACAAAATAAAAAGAATTTTACTTGAAAAACATTGCAAATATTAAACAAAAATAGCACTTTTTTTACAATGTTCACAATATTTTTCATGATAAACATTTTCGTCAATTTAAACGATTTATCATGAAAAACATCGAGAATATGGTAAAAAGAAAATCACCATGTACTCAATTCTGTGAGCAATTGGTTAATATTAGAATGCAAATCAATTAAAAAACTAGTTATATGGGTAAATATAACACTGCAAATAATTACACTTACAAAACATCTACAAATTTCATCTAAGCGAAGTTATTGACTTTCAAAATGAGTTGTGAATAACGTTCTATTATATTGCCATGGGACTTCTCCATACGGTGTCATAAAATACTCCATAAAAGCAGCTCGAACATTTATTGCATCATCTGCTGGCCTACCCAGAGTGGTACTTGCACAAACTGAAATTAGCTTTCCGTTTGGTCCAAGTTCCAATCGCCAATTACCCGCCAATAATTCTCCATTTATTTCATTGTCAGTGTCGGTTCTAGTTAAATAGGATGAGTTTCTTGATATTAAAAAGTTATGTATAACACAAATTGCTAGAACGATGGTCTTTGCGTTCTCAGGTTTAACATCCCTTGGTCTTCTAAGGATCCTGAACCGTGCCGCGCATATGCCAAACACATTTTCAACCACGTTTATTGCTCGTGATATTCTGTAGTTAAATATTTTATGCGACATTACTTGTTCACGATAAGAGAATGGTTTCAAAATGTATGGTTGTTTTACACTTTTTTTATAAGTTTACTATGTGATGTTTTCGTTCTTGTGAATAATAAAAGCCTTGTGAAATAAAGTGCGACTTTTGTTGATTTTAAAAGAAAAAAATTAAATTTTGTATTTATTTTAACTTAAAAATCTAGGAGCTTAGTTTAAAAGAAAAAAATAATTATAAAAGTATCAATTTATATTCAAATTTCTAACTAAAATTCGAAGGTGTAAGATTTACCACCACGTCACAGACTACGTCCAAAAAATTCAACTCCATAGTTAAATGATAAAATTTAAAAAATTTACAGTTGAAATATGGTTTAGTGATGAGGAAGATGATGTGGATGCTAATAGATTAGTAGAGTTGGCTAAAGCAAAGAGGGAATTTCGAGATTCGTCGGATCCCTTGGAGTTGGAAGATGAAGTGTATGTACATACATAAATTTGTGATGAATAGAAGTTGCGTTCCCGATGCTTCACTGTTTATAGGTTTTACAGGATTTGCAGGAAAATCTGTTTTCCTCATTAATAAACCCTCGACCTGAGCCGGCAAAACCAACAAATTAAGAATTCTCATTAATAAACTTTATGGAAGTTTAATAAATACGGTACGGTTTAGTTATTTGTACAATGATGTTGGGTATTTGTGTCCAAACACGTGACCCGAGTTTAAAAACTTTAACATACAAGTGTAGTGAAAGAATTAAACTTTAATTTAAAGATTAAAGATTTAAAGATTTCAAATTTCCGAGCACTAGTTAATTAATATATTATGCAGGTTTTTGTAAATTTTGATGTTGGTTTTGCGCAAAAACATTGTGGATGGCGTAGCCGGAGTTGTATATCTTTCACAATAGAAGTAGAGCTTCCTCCCCTACTCTTTCCGAAAATTCCTTTGCCTATGTCCTCATTCTCCAGCATCAGCTCGACCAACCGCGCAAGTTGCCTTTTGTTGCTTACAATTTTTGATCTGTAATTCAGACACATACATACATATGTATATTTCACAATTTTTTACAACTTACAGATCACTTACTTACTTTTTATCCATTATAGTACCACTTTCTCATGTAAGTTTTATAAACGCAAATTCCAACGACTAAAAAACAGCAATAGAAGGAAGAGCGATCAAAAAGCATTCACAGTCGCTAATTGAGCGACTAAGCGACACTCACAATAGCATCCATAATCGACAATCGCTTAATAGTCGTTTATCTACTGCCAATCGACATTCGCAATAGGGGTGATGGTAAAGGAAAAAAATACATATTTCCACACTTACCCCAGTTTTCGCTCCCGCTTGCAACGCGTGGTCCAATATAATTTAAGCAAAATGGTTCCGTTTGGCGAAAAGTTACGTATTTATACTTCAAATAATAACGGAGCAAGCGCACAGCGAAGCAAAGCGAGATGAAAACTGGGTTGCACATAAATTACATATGTTCACATTAAACAAATTTCATATCTTGTTCTATGTCTATTAGGCAATAACATCGATTCATTATAAACATTAAAACACCGAACTAATCTTCCACATTAAAAATGACCATAATTGAGAAAAATTACAAATACATTTTTATTCAGAATTTTCACCATGAAAATGGGAAAATTTTGGAAAACGCATAGTACCATCGATAGCCCGTATAAAAATCTATAGAAATCATAGTTTTCGAATTATTGTTTTCATTTTCTGTCTAATTCCCAGGTAGTCGAAAAATAGCTTGTTTTGCACCGCTCAGCGCGCTTGGAACATTTGACGTGAATCGCCTCATATATAGAGACTGATTGATTGCTAAGGTTCATCATAAAAGTAGTTTAGCGATCCCGCATGCAACATTTTTCATACAAAATATGGGAGATAAAAAATACGAAGATTACCTTTAAAGTGTGTAAAATAACGTTACCCTTGAATCCCTTCAACACAAGGACAAGATTAATAGTAACTGTAGTTTTATTCGAAATTTTTCAAATAGTGTAGATCAACTTGAGAACAAGTAAGGGCAGAGAACGTTTATAAATGAGAAGGCGCATTTTCAGTGTGAACTAATTGCTGCCAGAAATTTTGGGGTTGCGGTCGACCAAATATACCACTCGTCGACGAAATGCACCACTCGTTGACCAAATGCACCACTCGTCGACGGACGGTGTCGGCTGCCACCATACCAAAAATTTTTCCGTCTCACCACACTTCCGCCAAATGCACCATAGTTCAAAGCAAAATGAAAAAATAAGAACAAAACAGGAAAGAGGAACAGAAATATAATAAGCACTAGGCAGAGGGGATGCTTGCGCAGGCGAGCGTGTAGCATAGTTTAAAGCAAAATAAAAAATAAAAACGAATAACAAAAGATAAACAGAAATCTAATAAGTACTTGGCAGAGGGGGTGATTGCGGAGGCAGGCGCGTGCTTGTGTCGGATCAAAACAAACTCTAAAATAAAAATGGAAGTCAGAACGACAAGTGTACAGAAAGAAGCGCTGAAACGGGGAAAGGAGCGGGCTTTTGTACATTTGCTTGCTTGCCGAAAATATGATATTTGCGTGAAATCGATTTGCTGATTGCAAATTGATTTTTGCAAACATGTATGAATTTTTCTATTTCAGCTATGTTGATAAGATTTTCTAAGGCAATTTTTTTGAGTTTTTTCCGCAATTATCTAAAGTTATGTAAAGTGGACCTTTTTATATAAAACTACTTTATTACAATTTAATGAAACATATGTATGTGTGTATATATTTACTTATGCACACACACATATATACGTACATACATATACATATCTATGAATTGTACCAATTCATTAAATTGCACTAATGTATGCATCCGCAATCGGCAAATTTTTTCATTTCCATTTGCCGACGGCATTTTGCATGCGCAAGAATTTCCTGTTGCCAACAAATTGATGTACAAAAAATATACTTACTTATGTAATATACATACAATTACTTATGTTGACAAATTTAAGTTATTTTAGGTAATATTTTTATTTTATTTTTCAATGTAAGTTCTTAAACTATCTATATACAGAGAAATTCTTACACAAGTTTAAAAATCTGAAAGAAAATAAAAAATATAACAAAAATAAATACTGAAATGAAACAAATTAAAATTGTTTTTCGAAAACTTTTGGTTGGACACGAATTACGAATATGCCATCTCATATGAAGACAAATTCTCACACGATCATTTAAGATCATTTTTATTTTTCACCAGTTTTTAATACGACGATTCAATCCACTCGGTTGAAATCGTATGGTAATAGTTTAAAAACTTGGCTCGTGTGTGCAAATAAAATTTAACCACCTACATACATATGTAACTACTAACTCAATCCACATATATATGTATGTAGGTATATTATTCTACTTAAAAGGCATGCACTACTACTACGGTTAACTACTACAAAATTAAAAATGTTAGAAAAAAAGAAAATATACGAAAAAACATAAGGGAATATCTGAAAATAGAAGAAAAAATCTGAAAATAGAAAAAGAAAATTAATATTTAGATTTCATATTCAATTTCATAAGAAAATAGAAGAAAAAAAGCTGAAAATAGAAGAAAAAATCTGGAAATAGAAGAAAAAACTGAAAACAGAAGAAAAAATCAGCATTTTAGATACATAACTATGTATATGTGTCAATGTAATAATATGAACACTTTCGTGTATTTTACTTACGAGAAAAAAGCTGCTGCCGTCGCATGTTGCCTCCAATTTCATGGGCTCTTAGCTTGCAATTGAAAATGCCATTTCTTTCAATGTTTTTTTTTTATTACATTTAATCTTTTCAATTTATTCTGTTTAAGACGCTCCATGTTTGCTTGGGCTTCATCTCCAGCCAACCATTTCGCGTTTTTAAACAGTAATACGGTTACCATGGAATTCAGAAGTTGCTTTCGGTGCTCAAAACAATCTCCCGCTTCTGAAAACCATTCCGAAAATTCTTCATTTGTTTTTTAATAAGCGCGTTAACAATTTGTTCATGAATTCCTACTGAATGAGTATATTTCTGAAAATAAAGGCTTATACCATGCCATCTGCATGCGCAATATTTCAAATACCCACTCAGTTGGATTAATTAGTCTCACATCAGGAGGAGCAAAGTGCTCTTCAGGAATGTCAATATCCCAAGAAAATTGCTCTTCTGGAATATCGACATCCATCGCAAGTTGCTCTGAAGGTCCTAAATTGTCTTTCAAGGAATCTTCATCAGCAATATTCCAATCCAGGTCCAAATCTTCATCATCTTCGCAGTTTGTTCCTTTTATCTCAAATTTCCGTCTCAAAATTTTCATAGAAATTAAGCGAGCAACAATGTACTGAATTTCAGAGCCCGATGGATGCGTATTAATGCCCTGAGTTGAGCGGATTCTATAAAATAAGTTCTCAAGGGCATCTTGATTAAATTTTCCCAACAATATAAAATTTACATCTTTGCAATTTTCAAAGATATCTTGACTTAAATTAATCATCGAATTAATGGTTAAAATGAAACCAGCAAAACACAAGGAATTCATATTTTTAGGAAGTTGAATCGACGAAATGAATTTAATATGGTCCTTAAGCCTGTTAAGCTTGTCTACAGAATCGCGCCAAATTGGACCCTTCAATGGGTTTTTATTATTTAATCTCTTACAATCGAGCTCATCGAACAAATCATTCATGCGCTTTACAAACAACTGAGTCGGCTTGGCACATTTGAGGGTGTATTCATCAGACCCTAGCAACCCTTGTTTCTGCGCCATATCAATGCAATGTAGCTACCGAATTACTCAATAGCTGCGTCGCTCGGGATACGCTCATTTTCTCAAAATTATTTGGGTAAATATGCGAAGCTGTAAGCTTAGTACATACCTTGAAGTTTACATTGGCTTTATCTACCGAATATAATTGACGAATGACTTTACCGCTCGAGATGCCATCGATAGTTTTCAAATCGTGCTTTAATAAGTTATTCCGAACCGATTTAATTAAATGGCAATAGTTGTAAAGACATTTTCCATTGAAAATAAAGAACGAATTTTCCGCGGAGGCATTTAAAAGTTTAAAATGACGCTTTGACGCTTAAGCCGAGGCCTTCAACCGTTTTAATATTTTCCGTTAAGGAATGTAAAAGACTTGAAGCCGACATACCATATAATAGGAAAGGACATATTTCCAATCCGCCGCGATGGCTTTCACCATGAAAAAACAACATTTATCGGCAACATTGAGGTCGCGATTACCGTCGCCAATATCTACGAAACCGTCAATAATGTCTACTTTTATTATAAACGAGATCTTTTTTAATAGAAATTTCGTCGAATAAAATTTCGCAAAACCGCTCGGTGGGAGACATTTCAGAAACGATATATTTTAAAATTTCAATTACTTTAGAATCTATACCCGGCGATACATATTTAATAGGACGTCATCGCAAAAGGGATTTTTTGTGAGGAAGTGAAAACTTCAAGTCATCGCGCATAAAATTATAGGCTTTAGTCGACATGTAATTAATATTATGAGCTAAAGTTTTTTCCGTGTCCGTGTAGGAACTAACCGACCGTACTATCATTCTAGCAAAATTTAAAGCGTCATCGCTACAATCGGGCGAAGCTATTATCGTGTGTGTTTGCAAACGAGCAATTTGTTGGTTTAACGCGACGTTTTCGTTTTGCAACTCTTCAATATGTATGTTCTGCTTTCTCGCGTTACCCTGATAAATACGCGCAGCCCGAGCGAAAGGCTCATGGTCGCAGAAACCAGGTTCATTGCTAAGGCCCTCCTCAGTGCCCCGAACATCAAAGCGCTGTCTTTTGACTTCTATATCAGATAATTGTTCGAATTGCTCGAGTGTCAAGTCGCCTTCCGACTTGTAAACATGCTTAACAGGCTGAAGGATTAATTCGGAGGAGCAGCTATTTGGCTCATTCGGAATTTGAGGTGGCAAATTGAATAGAGGAAAAGCCCCCTTTAAAAGTCGCGTTTTGGTTAAATATCTTTTATGAAAATGACGTTCGCAAATACGATTTTTTTTTATTTGGCAGAAATGACACTTTCAAATTACAAACTAAGGCCCAATTATTGAAGGCAACTTCCGTCTTCGGGAAGCCAAATAGGGTCTGGTCGTCATGGTCGTCGCCTCAACGCAGCAACTGCGGTACCCCTTTGCCTCCTCAGTAGAATGCTGCAGAACGACATCTTCTTCTGGTCCTAAATAATTTATATGGTACATATTATGAAACACATAAATCACTGAATGTACCATATTTGCTTATAAATAAAAAATTCTAAAGTCAAATGGCCTTATTCATAAAAAATAAAGTAGCTTTAAAAAAGGTTTATAAACTGAAAAATGTATGAAAACGTCATTTTATAAAGCTCTTTAAACCTACTTTATTTTTTATGACTAAGGCCAAAAATTTCTAAAATCAGTTCGCATCCCTCAAGGAAAAATATGCTCGTATGTTTATTTCTTCAAGAAAATTTACAGCAAAAGCTTGAAATCCACCTCAAGAAAATTCATATGAAATATTTTTCATTATATCTGTTGCTTTAAAAAACATTTTGCCTTGGTTGTAAATTTGCTTGAAGAAATAAATATACGATTTCTTCAGATTTTCTTCAGATAACTTTAAAATATTCACGATATCCCGAAATCTTAACGAAATCTTCAGGAGTATCTGATTTCTGTAACGATTTTTTTCCGAATCTTCAAAGAAAATTATATGAAGTGGTTGACACGAACTCGTAAAGAAATTTCTTTACGAAAAATAAAGAAAATTCTGAAAAAGTCTGCAAGAAATTCTTCACACAGCAGCATTATTTTCATTTCTTCACCGATTTTCTTCCGAAATTTAGTAAAAGAATGGAAGTGTGCGTATTTTATTTCATTTTAGAAAATTCGGAAAAAAATCGGATGGGATCTTTCCGAATTCGTTAAAATTTCTTTACGATTCAGAATACTCTGAAAAAATGGTTTGCAGGGACAGCACTATTATTTTCGTTGCTTCACAGATTTTCTTCCGAAATTTCATAAAAGAATGGAAGTGTGCGTAATTTATTTCATTTTAGAAAATTCGGCAAAAAATCGAATTAAATCTTAACGAATTCTTCAAAATTTCTTTACAATGCAGAATACTCTGAAAAAATGGTTTGCAGGGTACCTACTCACATAAATAAATGCATACATTTTCATTCCTACATATCAGAAGATAATTCACTGGACACACTAAAGCTACATATCAGTGGAAAATTTACTGAACACACTAAAGCTGGTACTTAAAGTTGGTTGCAGATTTTTTGACGAAAAACCCATTAAAAATTATTGCAAAAAGCTACAACTAACTTTAAGTACCGACTTAATTTTAACTATCCACTTCCTCAATAAATTATTAAATTCATCAATAATTATCCGTATATACAAAAACAGGCATAATAATTATACATAATCACTTTCACTAGTCACAAGGACCTGCCGGTGTCACACATTTACACACGTTTAAAATTTTGGAACACACACAAAGGAGCAAATGACATACATATGTACACACACAAACAAGCATAATACATACATATGGGCTATTCCGCGTAAAATAATAATTGCTATTCTTCGCAAAGTATACTGAATTTTTTTATGAAACTCGGTGCGGATACTATGGAGGTCTTATTTAACTATATTTATTACTTTCACAATACTATATTTTATTATAACACTACAGTTATCACTTTTATTTACTCAAATATATTATCCTTAAAAGGTTCGCATGCGTTTGTAATACTTTAATATACAATTATTAATTAATTAATTAAGTGAAACGCGTTTATAAATGTCTTCACAAACGTTTGCTCATTTCACAAACAAGCAGAAATAACAACAGCTGACAGCATAATCACTTTCACCAGCACCATGGAATAGCCCATATGTATGCATATTTACTATTTTGGAATGCACTCATTGTATTGTATATATACATACATACGTACATACATATTCCTACACACATATGTCCACTGCACTCACTAATCAACTCCATGCACTAAACTTAATGAAAACAACTTACCAAGGTTGAGGGTTGGGACCGCCCCACGCTTCAGTCGCTGGCTTCCAACGGCGAAGTGAGGAAAGTGGGCGCCGCAAATGAAGGTGTTGGTTGGGGCAATGTGGGCGTCTGGCGAAATCCGGAGGTTTTGCCTCCACTTCTGGGCTATCTCCTCATCCTGTGGCCATGCATACAGTTTGGCGTCCAAGCTGGTGATGGGGCAGTCCCGGGCTACGCAGCGGCGAACGCTGGACATCTCGTCGATTTAGGGCGCGCGATAAGGTCTGGAAAAAAAATTCGCTTAAAAACCACGTCCGAACGGCTCGGAAAACTTTTCCGTATGAAAGACGTTAGCATTTTTTCTTTATAATCTTTCATTTTCGCGCATTTATACTTACCCAATCAGACTATAATAACGGTATTTAAACGGACCGATGTCAATGCAAAACAGACTTTCATTTGTAGGTGATTGACATATGTACATACATACATATATACGCGTTTGTACATATTTATGTATATACATATGTATCACGAAACTTATAAAGAGCCTATTGCGCATGTATACATAGATGAAATTTCATGAAATGCTACAATATATAGATATATGTATGTACGTTAGGGCGGGTCAATTTGTATGGATCGATTTTTTTCGACATTGTTCCTAGCATATTCGGATTCTTCATAAAATTCTAAGAAAAAAATTCCTCCAGACCATAGCTCTAAAGTTAATTTCGAGCCTGCGCAATTTTAAAAGAAGATATCATATATATAAAAATGAATTGCTGTCCGTTAGCCTCGCTAAGACTCGAAAACAGCTTGACCGACTTTAATATTTTTATTTTTTCGGTTTGTTTTTTATAATATCCGGATGGTTAAAACCAGAAAAAATAGAGAGTTGCCACCTGTTTAAAAATTTCAATATAAGTAAATTAATTACATAAATTAGATATTGCAATATGGGTGTCAAAAGAAAGAGGTTATGAAGGCTTACAGGCGAAAATATTTTTGAGGGGGGTTGTTTCAAAATTGAATTAAATGAAATTGATAAGATAAATTAAATATTGCAATATGGGTATCAAATTAAAAAGGTTTAAGAAGGCTTACTACTGAAAATATTTTTGAGTCGAGTTGCCACCAATTTCGAAAATTTAATTCAATTAAGTTAATAAGATAAAGTATGTATGTATTATAATATAGGTGTCGAACGAAAAGTATTTGAAAAATTATTGATTAAGAAATATTTTCTATAGGCCTGCCACCTACCTGAGCGGTAAAAACTAAAAGCCATACTCGCAAATATTATTCAAAGCTTTTGAGGCTCGCATCAATGTGTAGTACTGTAACTCCGTCAAGTTAGTGTTTATTGATGGCAAACAAAGTAACATCGAACAATGCACTTAGCCTCGATATAAAAAGAGAACAAAAGCCGAAGTATTAGCCGAAGCAGTTCACACAAATGTTCCACAATTGAACTAACAAAAAAATATGGCCTATGAATCTTTTATAGAAGCTGTGAACACTGGAGTAAAATTTAAACAAAAAAACAAAACCGACTTCAATTCTCATATACAAATTTAAGTGTACCATTATTTTCTTCGTGGCCCAATTATCGGATCTACACTCAATTAGTAGGAGACTACCTCTGAGGAACCACCTTTCCTTTCAAAAAGAATTATAGAAAACGGATAACGTAGTCCAAAGTTACGCGGTAACATACATAAAAACATATTCCGACGAATTGATAAAATATGCAGATTAATATTTAATAAAGTGTTACGGATATATTTTTTTTAATACAAACCTGTGCTTGGGAGTTTATTGATACGAAAACTTAATTTCTGATATCTATTTTTTATTGAAAGAACCGCAAGATTGCACTACAAAGCAAATTACATATTTTTTTTACTATTGTAACGGGAGAAGTTACTGTATGTATTTTTTTATATGTACAGTGTCGAACAAAAGTTTTGGCGCAGTAAATTTTCGCATTACATATATGCAAAATTTTTAATTTATTTCCGATAATTTTTTATAAAAACATAGTTCATACTTAATGTGGCCAACCGTACTTCTTTCGGAAGTACAGTACTTCTTTATCCGCTCTTGTACTTTGTACTTCGAAGTACAGTCAAATGTACTTATTTGCGATATTTTGTACTTCAGGAGGAAGATTTTGTAACCAGTTAGCGACAATTTTCGAATCACTATCGCACTTTTTGACGCATGATATAAATGTTTTTGCGTCTAAAAGTGCGATAGTGATTCGAAAATTGTCGCTAACTGGTTTCAGAATCTTCCCCCAGGTCCTGTAATTCTCCGATCTTCTGGACGATCGTCACATGCACCCCTATTGCGAATGTCGACTGGCAGTAGATAAACGACTATTAAGCGATTATCGATTATCGATGCTATTGCGAGTGTCGCTTAGTCGCTCAATTAGCGACTGTGAATACTTTTTAATCGCTCATCCTTCTATTGCTGTTTTTTAGTCGTTGGAGTTTGCGTTTATAAAATTTTCATAAGAAAGTGGTACTATAATGGATAAAAAGTAAGTCAATGGAACTGGAAGTTGTAAAAAATTGTGAAATATACATATGCATGTATGTGTCTGAATTACAGATCAAAAATTATAAGCAACAAAAGGCAACTTGCGCGGTTGTTCGTACTGATGCAGGAGAGTGAAGACATAGGCAAAGGAATTTCCGGAAAGAGTAGGGTAGGAAGCTCCGCTTCTATTGGAAAAGATACATATACAATATTTCTTGTGCATATAACTCCGGCTACGCCATCCACAGTGTTTTTGCGCAGAGCCAACATCAAAAGTTTATACAAAAAAACTGCATAATTTATTAATTGACTAGTGCTCGGAAATTTGAAATCTTTATTTTAAATTAAAGTTGAATTCTTTCAATACACTTGTTATGTTAAAGTTTTTAAACTCGGGTCACGCGTTTGGCCACAAAAACCCAACATCATTGTACAAAAAACTTAACCGTACCGTATTTCTTAAACTTCCATAAAGTTTATTAATGAGGAAAACAGCCTTTCCTGCAAATCATGTAAAGCCTAAAAACTGTGAAGCATCGGGAACGCAACTTCTATTCATAAAACTCACACATGTACATACACCTTCCAAGTCCAAGGGATCAGACGAATCTCGCAATTCCCTCCTTGCTTTAGCTAACTCTACTAATCTATTAGCTTCGGCATCATCTTCTTCATCACTAAACCATATTTCAACTGTGTCGATTTTTTTAATTTTATAATAAAAGCAATTATTTTAAAAATGATGTAAATAAAACACTCAAGAAACAAATGTAAACAAACAAACAGCTGTTTACAATTCTATCGACCATTCACAATAGTACAAATTTTTATCGATCAAGTTACACAATAGCAAAATAAAAGATGATCGACTCGATCGACAAATTTCTATTCTACTGCCAGTCGACACTCGCAATAGGGGCCATGGTCTGGGCGATAATTTCGTTGAAACCATTAAAGTCGCCGCGGACCGATGGCATCATACCTGCACAGCAGCGAAGGACTCTGAAGGTGTCGTGCGATTGGTTGGATCCCATTTATGCGAACTGCATGAGGACCGGGTACATCCCGAAGGCTTGGAGTTCAGCCCGAAGGGCGGAAAAGGCGCACATGTTTCCCCTAAGTATTTTAGGTCAATCAGTCCCTCTTTGTTTTTGCTAAAAACTCTAGACAGACTAATAGACCTCTGCATAAGAAACGCGATTGCTTGTGACTGTCTTTCAAGAGCTCAGTATGCTTATTGCAAGAAGAGGTTGGTGAATATCGCCCTGCATACATTGGTAAAGTGGTCATAGGAACTTTTCACGCATAAAGATTATGCAGTAGGGGCCTTCTTCGATATCGAGGGGGCCTTCAACAATGTCATACCAGAGGCAACAGTCGATATAAATATTCATAATCAGGGGGTCGAAACCAACCTAATAAGGCTTATCTACAGCTCACTACCGCGAATAGAACTGTCGCGGCGAGTGACGCGCCTGCACTCAATGCAGTCATTTGGAGCACTCCACAAGGTGGTGTTCTCTCTCCCCTGCTCTGGATTGCGGTTGTAAAAGACCTTCTAGAGAAACTGGATAAAGTGGGCTGTCGGGTGATCGCCTATGTAGATGATGTGGAAATTTTGGTTAAGGGACGATTTCTAGACACCATTTTTGTTCTGGCTCAGGGTACCTGAACCAGGTAACTAGGTGGGCGATCAACGGCGGCTGTCGTGGAAGCCTAATATTGAGGTAAGGTAAGGAAGGTGTCGGTTGCCTTGTACTTCTGTAGGGGTCTCTCGCCCAAATGAATTCATTAGCTCTAGGAAACCAGATTTAAGCCTATATTGTTTCAGGGAGCCCTTCTCTGGTGGAACTTACTAGAGAAGGCTACACTTGTAAAATAGGAATTAGCGGAGCATTAGGAACCACACCTACACTGGCGCTTAACATACATATGTTGAACACGGCGCCTGCGGATATTGCAGACAGAATTGTCGCAGCACGATCTGCTATTGGGCTTAGGGGAACCGGGTCCTTTCGTGACATAAAAAAGGAAAAGATGTTTCTCTGCTGCAGCAAATGTTTTAATAGGGCACTTTTAAACATGTTACCTCTCAAGGGCTAGTGATGGGGGTTCTGACAGGCCATTATGCGATTGAAATTCATGCGTTGAGACTTGAAATTTCAACTGATCCTCGCACTTTTCAACAAACACTGAGCTCTCAGGGATCGAAATTAGCCGCATTCGAAATTTTATAATCGACTCGCGGCGTTAACTTAACCTAACCTGTACTTCTTTGTGCTATGAAATAGTTGGTCACATTATTCATACTACACTAAAACACATAAAAATCAAATGTGTAAACTTTGTGAAAAACTCAGGAAAATTCAATAAATCAGCATACTAATTTGCAATTTTATATTCAGATTTTCAAGCAACTTCAAACCTGCACTTTGATAAACTAAAATTAAATGTATTATTAAACTGCATACTTGGAATTTTTCTAAAAAATACTTTGCCTATATTGCGAAAAATTTACTGTGCCAATACTTTTGTTCGTTACTGTAAGTAAATAAACCCTTAACTTCAAAAAACCAAAAAAAAAAATTACAATATTTCAAAATTATTTTTCGAATCATGAATTTTTTTTATGATTAACAATGTATTTATATTTTTTTGTTTGGTTTTAGATCCTTTTTGCTTTCAACACGAGGTATCTTTTTCTAGTTTCTATTGTCATAGCCATAACTCCCTCTATATTTCATTCAATCAATAAATAAATTTTATAATTTTTTTTTTGGCATTTTTCCTAAATACAAGTAGAGCTTTATAAAACTTGTATAACACCAAATGTTTATCAAGCTTAGGATTTTGTGTTATCCGGGCAGGCTTATTAATTTAACCAGAGAATATGTTTTTTATACCCGAGCGCACTTGTGCACAAGGGTATATTAATTTTGTTCACATAACGGTTGTTTGTAACAGCCAAAACGAATCGAGATAGATATAGACAAATGTATACATAAATGATCAGGATGAAAAAAGAAATCGATTAAGCCATGTCTGTCTGTCCGTCCGTCTGTCCGTCTGTCCGTCTGTCCGTCTGTCCGTGTACACGATAACTCGAGTAAAAATTGAGATATCTCAACGAAATTTGGTATGTAGGTTTCCCTTAGTCCAAGGTAGGTTGCTATTGAAAATGGGCGAAATCGGACTGTAACCACGCCCACTTCCCATATAACGGTAATTTCCAGAAATACGAAAACTGCGATATTTTAGTAACTACTGAAGATAAAGCACTCAAAATTGGTATTTACAATAATTTTTTGACAAAAAATAAGAATATTATACATTTTTGGAAAATGGGCGTAGCCACGCCCACTTATGGTTACATGTGTATATCTTGGTAACCGCTGTACCAATTTCTACCAAACTTGGCACAGTTATCGGCCTTGGTACAGCATACAAAATCGCCGAAAATTTTTAAAATCGGACGATAACCACGCCCACATCCCATATAACGGTAATTTAGAGAAATACAAAATCTTCGATAAATCAGTAAATATTGAAGCTAATTTGTTCAAAATTGATGCTTGCAACAATTCTTTACCAAGAAATACGTTTGTGATAAATTTTTGGAAAATGGGCGTGGCACCGCCCACTTATGATCACATATATGTATCTCAGTAACCGTTCTACCAATTTGTACCAAACTCGGTGTGGTTATTGTGCTTGCCACATATAAGCAAACCGTTGAAAATTATTGAAATCGGACTAAAATAACGGCCGCTTCTCATATAACGGTAAATTTCAGAACTGCTTGAAACTTCAAAATCGAAATTTAAGGACTCTAATTTACTCAAAATTGATACGCCCCGGCTTACCATGTAGCCGTAGCTTTCGGTAAGGCGAAAAACATATATTTAATACGTGCGCCGGGTATTTAATGTTCGGCTCTGCCCGAACTTAGACTTTCTTACTTGTTTCTTTATTAAGTTTACCCAGTTCCCCATTTTAAACTGCTACCTGTACTGTATCAGCGGTTAAAACTTGTTAAATTTTTATTTTTAAAATTTTCGGTAAGGAATAAGCGAGTGGATGAAAAATATATAAACCGTAAGAACGGCCCATATATATGTATATGAAAGAAAACACACATGCGACGACTCTAGCCATTGTGTGTCACTCCTTTAAATCATAGTTATTTTTTTTTGTTATGGTATTAAAAAAATATCGTTCGTAACACTTTAGTAAATATTTATCCGTATATTAACTGAGTATATATTAAAGACTAGAAGATGACCCGGTGAACTTCATATCATCTATAATTTATTTGAATTTAACTTTGATAAATTATAACAAATCTTCAAAATGCAATACAATGAGATCACTAATACTGCATGCTGTTATAGCTGATAAAAGATTCCACACTTATAAGATGTGCCACGCCCCTTTTTACAAACTCATTTATATACATATATCTTTCCATAAGCACCTACCATAGGTATCTGCGCATTTCAAATTTCGAGTTCATGTGACTATAAATCCGAAGTTAGAGCTGATTAAAAATGTTCACTATGGGAGGTATCCCTCATCCCCCTCCCCCCCTCGGAGAGTTTCAATTTTTTTACCCTATTATAGGTCCCGGAGTAATGGCAATACTTTGGCAAAATTTTATTCGATTCTGTACATCCGTTCAGGCTGCAACCTGGTACATACATGCATACATACTTCCACAAATATATAGTAGATTTGCTTTGAAGCGCCATCTTGCACAACTCATTATTACAAAAAAAACATTCCTAACACTTTAGTAAATATTAATCTGATTATGGACTTAGTATTAATTAAAAATATTTTCTTTTAAAATTGCGCAGGCTCGAAATTGATTCTAGAGCTATGGTCTAAAGGGCTTTTTTTCCTAGAATTTTATGTAGAATACGAATCTGCTAGGAACGATGTCGAAAAAAAAATTGACCCGCCCTAATGTACGTATATATATGTGGATAGATATGTGTATGTACGTATGGATTGTGGAAAATATTCCCTCAGAAAATCTTATCAAGTTAGCTGAAATAGAAAAATGCATACATGTTTTGCTGAAATAGGAAAATTCATACATGTTTGCAAAGATCAATTTGCAATCAACAAAATCAGGTACGATTCATAGATATGTATATGTATGTACGTATATATGTGTATGTGCATAAGTAAATATATACATACATACATATGTTTCATTAAATTGTAATAAAATAGTTTTATCTAAAAAGGTCCACTTTACATGACTTAGATAATTGCGGAAAAAAGTCAAAAAAATTGCCTTTGAAAGTTTTATCAACATAGCTGAAATAGAAAAATTCATACATGTTTGCAAAAATCAATTTGCAATCAGCAAATCGATTTCACGCAAATATCATATTTTCGGCAAGCAAGGAAATGTACAAAAGCCCGCTCCTTTCCCCGTTTCTCCGCTTCTTTCCGTACTTCCATTTTTATTTTAGAGTTTGTTTTGATCCGACACAAGCACGCACCTGCCTCCGCAAGCACCCCCTCTGCCAAGTACTTATTAGATTTCTGTTTCTCTTTTGTTATTCGTTTTTATTTTTCATTTTGCTTTAAACTATGCTACACGCTCGCCTCCGCAAGCATCCCCTCTGCCTAGTGCTTATTATATTTCTGTTCCTCTTTCCTGTTTCGTTCTTATTTTTTCATTTTGCTTTGAACTATGCTAAATTTGGCCGAAGTGTGGTGAGACGGAAAAATTTTTGGTATGGTGGCAGCCGACACCGTCCGTCGACGAGTGGTGCATTTGGTCAACGAGTAGTGCATTTGGTCAACGAGTGGTGCATTTCGTCGATGAGTGGTGTATTTGGTCGGCCGCACCCCAAAATTTCTGGTAGCAATTGGTTCACCCTGAAAATGCGCCTTCTCATTTATAAACGTTCTCTGGTAAGGGATACTTCAATACATTGTAATCAAAATTGTGGCATTTTGGGACAAAACGGCAGCGGGTCCAATATTCTAGAGCTCTTACTTGTTCATAATTGGCATACCGCGTTCGTGTAGTTTTTTGACTGTCGCACAGTGTTTTTACAAGACGATTTAAATAAGGGGTCAGGTACTACAGCGACGCCAACTCTCAAGCGGTAAATCACACACGTCGCGTTTTCGCCGTTAACTATGTTTACGCCTTTACTTCTTTACTTTTTTTATTACTTTACATAACACTTAACTAAATGCCAATGGTTCCTAAATAATTTCATGAAATTATTCTGCAACATACTTAAAGTAATATGTGCACCCACTTTAAACTTACACTTTAACTAATACTTCTTGTTTTAACTAATTCGTTTAAATTTTGATAGCTCGGATCTTTAATGAAAAACTCTGTCAAAAAAGTAAAAGAAGGGCGATCTTTTGGATTATATTGCCAGCAATTTTCCATAACGTTATATACATTCGTAGGGCAGGGCAACGGTTGCGGCAGACGTTTTCCATCCTCAATTAGTTGTACAACTTCAGAACCAAGCACTTCTCCATAGGGCGCTTCCCCTAGTGAAAACATTTCCCACAATGTTACACCATAGGACCATACGTCACTTGAATGTGAAAAAATTCCATTTTTATAGCTCTCGGGAGCATACCTTTTTTAAAAATTTGTGTGAAATTATTATTAATATGAAATAAATAAATAAAAAAGTTAAATTACCATTTAATAGGCCATTTTCCACCATGCTGTGCTTCATAGAAATCATGTTCCGACCCCAAAGCTCGAGATAAACCAAAGTCACCTATTTTTGCTTGATGAAACGATGCTAATAGAATGTTCCGCGCTGCCAAATCGCGATGTACAAAATGATGGGTCTCCAAATATAGCATTCCTGAGGAAATTATAATTAATATTGTTTATGTTTTTATTTAATTTTATATACCGCAAGCTATCTGCGATGCCCATAGTTTTAACTCGCGATTTGGATCAATTTTTGTTCGATTTGCTTTTATAAAAGTCAACATCGAGCCAAGAGGGACCAACTCTTGTATCATAATTAATGTTTCCATCTTAGATACTCCAATTAACTGCACAATACAATGATGATTTAAACGAATCATCACAGATGCCTCTCGCAAAAAGTCATTTTTACTAGCGCGACAATGTTCTTTATGCAATGTTTTGATTGCTACATCCCCATTGAAATTATTGTCAATATGTCCAGGCTTATGTCCTTTTAATCTTCCTCGATAAACGGACCCAAATTCTCCTTCCCCAATAAGATTTCCCAATTCGATATTTTCGAAAGGTATACAAAACTCCATGGTAACTTCATTAAAAAAGTTAACGATTTCATTATCCTTTAAAGAATTAAAAGTATGCAAATCCAGTCGTTCAGGATACATTAAATGCCCTATTGGACTACGACCATCTACTTCTGCGAGATTATCTTCGGCGCTTTTATTGCTCTGCTGATCGACTTGATTGATATGCTCACCCTCTTCGCATTTTATCCTGAAAGAGCCGAAATTTTACATAAAAAGAAACTTTTTATTTTTAGTATATTGCTGTTCCAAAAAATATCTGTTTGCTGATGAAATCAGTTCAGGGTCTGATATGAACTTGCGCACGTAATATGTATGTTTATAGAAAAGAGTTGTTCTAACTTGTTATTTCTTCAAATCCTGAAAAAGACCTAATACGGACAGACTATTTATTCAGCGGACTCTAGCAAGATTTACTATAACCAGTACTATGACAATACGGGTAGAGAATGCAGCTAAACGAAATCTATGTCAGGAGAACAGGACGAATAAACTTTGCGTGAACTTATGTATTCCAAAAACAATTTGCTGTGCCTCGATAAGAAAGCTCGGTGAGGAAAGATGAAATGTGCTACTTACTAAGTAAGTACAAACACAAGTACTTAATATACAAGTACAAAATACGTATTTGTATTTTGTATTTAAATATTTTTTTACAAGAGTATTTTTTATTTGTATTTTAAATACTTTTTAATAGTAAATATACTTTGTATTTTAAAACACTTTTTCTTTTGTTCATTATTCATTATTACAAGTATTTAAAATACTAATACAAAATATGCATTTATATCTAAATATTTTCATTTTTGTTGTTATTTAATTTTGGTTACTTTTTTATAAAAATATAGTTCATTCTATCAGGGACCGTAAATAACAGTTACTTTTTTCAATAGTTAAACTTGGCCAGATATTTTTAAGTGGAAAATAAAAGTATTTTCCTAATAATAAACAAACCGCTTATCCAAATTAAACAAGTTTGGTATTAACTGAAAGAGGACTAAAGTAGCTTTAAAACCGAAATGGTTTAACGAGGAGAGCCAGCGGAAAGCCAGCTATTGAAAAATATTTCAATAAAAGTTGTTTTTAATTACCATAGAACAAACCCAGGGTCAGGTATATGCATTTTCATTCAGAGCTTTTTTAATTAAATTTCGTAGAAGGATTCTGAGTATGCAGTAGAGGTTTACGCCGATATATATTGCGACGACGTCGTTAATCTTAGAAATAATCGGCGGCGGCGGCGACGCCGGCGTCTTAAATAGCGCCAGCGCATCTGGCCATTAGCCACAAACGAAAGAACGTAGGAAACCAATTCTTGTTAAACTGTAACGCAAAATATTATTGAAAAGGCGCCTAATAAATATTTGGAATCGGTGCATATATGCTTGTTTATTGAAGTAATTTAATATAAAAGATAATCGATTGACCAATCAGATAATATAAAAATTAAATCGAATAACCTCACGGCCAGAATTGTGTTGCAAAATAGTCACTACGATATCACTTCAATTTTCCTCCCAAATCACTCCGAAAGACTTCACTCGAAAATTAGCAAATGACAGGACTGCTACCAAATAAAAGGGTAGTTCCATACAATATTTACACCGCAATATTTTTATTAGTGTTAAATATATTTTTACTTTCTTAAACGAAAAAAGGAGGCGACCTATTTTTTTCGTCGCGATATTCGAAAATATCGAAATAAATCTCCGAAATTTCGAACTCATAAAGAATTATCTTTTTCACTTTTTTGCAGTTAATAAACTATTTGTGGGAGAAAATCATTTAAGCAATCCTCGGCTTTTCATTAAAGTGTGATATAGATTTAAATAAATAATTTTTGAACTAAAAAATTGAATTTTAGTCTTTATATTGAAACCTAATTGCCGCGCAAAAATCTTGCCATTCAATGACATTATTCTGTTTATGGAAACGCGAGTACCAATCTCTTGTCTTTCCGGTAAGAAGAAGAGGTATGTGCTTACAAAGTAAATTGAAGTCACCGTTTAAATGAGCACAAGTGAGGGCTCGAACCCGATACAAAAATTCTTCAACCGTCAAGTGGTCTGCTGATCCATCGTACTTAATGTTCCAATTCTGTATAATATTAACTACTTTATCTAGACGAAAACTTTGACTACTGTGAATGTTACTTTGGCTACTATCCCTAAAATTTCGCTCAGACTGACAACTGTATGACTGATTCGCAGTCCTCAACTGATTCAGATTTAATCCAGCCAACATTCTAGTAACACTTTCTTCAACGATTTGAGATACACGATTGTAGTCTACTTCAGCACTTGGATTTCGATTGTTTATCTCGGGGTTACTGGGGTTTGATTCACGTTAAACGCAAGGCTACTATCTGCATCTGCATCAATTAAAGGCAGAGACATTTGCCTTCGTTTAGCGACTTAGATGCGGGACTATGGGTACTACGATAACTACGGGTTACTTGCCTATGTCCTGCTTCACGTTTTCGATAATTGGAACCTGGTTTGTTTTGCAAAGTTTGACCTTGCTCTTTAATTGTTATCGGTAAGCAATCCTTGATGTGACAGAGCCTTTTACAACAAGGACACTCATTCTGTTCTTTCAGCCATTTCGAAATACATTCTCTATGGTACACGTGATTACACAATCATCGCTTTCGGTCATAATTTGCTGCCAAATTGTGCAATTGCATGTCTCGTTGGCAACGGCCGACAGTGCGGGAAGATTTTCATTACTCCGTGTAAATGGCATTTTGAAAATCATTCCAAATGTAAAAAAAAAAAATCAAAAATATCTGACTGTAGGATATCGTTTCCTCGCCGGTAAAACTGGTGGTTTTTTCAGGTAATGTAGGTTTGTACTGAAAATTTTTGTTGAGTTGAAAGAGATGGAAAATAAAAATTGGGCTAATGATTTAACTTAATAAAGCGAGAAAAAAAATAAACACAGACGTTGCTTTCTAACTTTCGGACGGAATTTCTGAGGTTTTCTCTGAGTCGGAGTCCGCATTCCAGAATTTTAGAAAGAAAAAAAAAACGTTATAAGCAAAAAATAAGAACGAATCAAACTAACAATAATAAATACGACTACCACGAAGGAAATGGTTAACTTCTTCGCAGTTTGCCATCTGGAGCGAAGGCCTAAATGCAAAAAGTCCAGCGAATGTTACAAAAACAATTTTATTTTAAATTAAGGTTCGGTTTCCGGTGGTAAACATTTTCGGAGTCAATGCCAAAAACATTTAGAAAAATCTTACCAGAAAAGAACAAATGAATCATACAATATAACAAATCAATTTCCTAAATGCACTTGGCCAAAACTATATTATTGTCCAGACTCCAGAAACTTTTCAAGAGGTTACAATATTTGGTTAAGAACCCTATACTGAAAAATCCTTCTATCAAATCCAAGAACCTTGAACAAAAGAAAAATCTGTATTTACTGTTGGAATTGAACTTTATTACTACCGGATTACAGAGCAAAACAAGTCAGAATATTTTCGTTTTCGGATCTTTAACAAAGAAGTTCGTTTAACAAAAATGCTTTTATACTTCCATACTTGCGTTGCCCCACGTTGGGCGCTAAAAAATGTAATGGTCGATCTTAGCTGACAGCAGCTGAGCAGAGGTCTTCCTAGTGGGAAAGTTTAAATAGATTTAAAAATTACTTTGTTAGCGTGTAGAAAGCCGGACGGGACCCATTGATCTAGGCTAGTCTTCAGTGGCTGGGGTGGTTCTTGGCAATTCTACCAGCTATCCTCACTAATACATTTTATTATTATAGAGTCCCTATTAACATTACAAAAAAATTAAACCAAAATAAAAAAATACATGGGCTGGTACACTACACTAATATTTCCGGAACTCCGTGGTTGGCTCTTTTAACAAACAACAAACAAAAAATTGCATGAGAGAAATGTTACAACTTTTATTCATATATATATATGTATATACGGGCTCTTATTTCCTACAACTACATCTTCATGGGTTTCCTACACGTAGTATGCCTACAAAGTTGGTTTCTTAAACCTATTTTTTTCTAGAAATTTTAATTTTAGTTTTTGTTATTAAAATTTACGGTAATTTAAATTTTAAGACAGTATTAAAAATCACGTAGTTAAATTCAAGAGAAATTCAATTAATTTACGTGCTTAGGTACTATTAAGCTGGATTAGTCATGTATGTATATATCTGCGCTTTTTTATACCCGAGCGAACTTGTGCACTTGTGTTCACATAACGGTTGTTTGTAACAGCCAAAACGAATCGAGATAGATATAGACAAATGTATACATAAATGCTCAGAATGAATAGAGAAGTCGATTAAGCCATGTCTGTCTGTCCGTCCGTCTGACTGTCCGTCCGTGTACACGATAACTCGAGCAAAAATTGAGATATCTCAACGAAATTTGGTATGTAGGTTTCCATTTATCCAAGGTAGGTTGGTATTGAAAATGGGCGAAATCGGAATGTAACCACGCCCACTTCCCATATAACGGTAATTTCCAGAAATACGAAAACTGCTATATTTTAGTAACTACTGAAGATAATTCACTCAAAATTGATATTTACGATAACTTTCAGACGAAAAATAAGAATATTATAAATTTTTGGAAAATAGGCGTAGCTACGCCCACTTACATGTGTATATCTTAATAACCGCTGCACCAATTTCTTCCAAACTTGGCACAGTTGTTGGTCTTGGTACAGCATACTAAATGGCCGAAAATGTAAAAAATCGGACAATAACCACGCCCACATCCTATATAACGGTAATTTAGAGAAATACAAAGTCTTCGATAAATCAGTAAATATTAAAGCTAATTTATTCAAAATTGAGCTTGCAACAATTCTTTACAAAGAAATACGTTTATGGTAAAATTTTGGAAAATGGGCGTGGCACCGCCCACTTATGATCACATATATGTATCTCGGTAACCGTTCTACCAATTGTACCAAACATAAAAGCAAAACGTTGAAAATTATTGAAATCGGACTACAATTACGGTCGCTTTTCATATAACGGCAACTTTCAGAAATGCTTGAAACTGCAATATTTCGAAATTTAAGGACGCTAGAGAATTTTCACTATCACTATCTGGTGAGCGGTAAGGGAACGAAAGTTTCACTATCACTGACTATTTACATTAGTTTACAAATTTAGGAAAAGTTTGCCAACTGTGCAAATTTCTTAGTTA